CCAAAGCTAAGAAGTTTCCTGAATACAATCAAACACTTGAGGGACAGAGTAGCAGGGATAGGGGTCTGGAGACCATGCTTTCAGGGGACATCTAGGTCAATTGGCATAACAAAGCTTATTAAGAAAATGTTCTGTATCCTACTTTGGTGAGTGACATTGGGGGTCTTAAAAGCTTGCAAGCGGCCATCTAAGGTTCATCAATTGGTCCCAGCCACCTGGAGTAAAGGAGAATGAAAAACACCAAAGACACAAGGAAAGTGTTAGCCCAAGAGACAGAAAAGGCCACATAAACTAGAGGCTTCATCAGCCTGAGACCAGAAGAACTAGATGGTGCCCGGCTACCACCAGTGACTGCCTTGACAGGGAACACAATAAAGAGTCCCTGATGGAGTAGGAGAAAGGTGGGGTGCAGAACTCAAATTCTAGTAAGAAGACCAGACTTAATGGTATGACTGAGACTGGAGGAACCCCGGAAAGCATGGCCCCTGGATTCTCTATCAGCCCAGAACTAAAACAATTTCTGAGGCCAGCTCTTCAGACAGGGATTGGACCAGACTGTGGGACATAAAGTGATACTCGTGAGGAGTGTGTCTCTTAGCTCAAGTAGATACAAGAGACTAAACGGGCAGCTTCTGTCCAGAGGTGAGACGGGAAGGCAGAGAGGGTTAGGAGCTGCTTGAATGGACATGGGGAATCAGGGGTGGAAAGGAGGAGTGTGCTTTCACAGTATGGGGAGGGCAATTAGAGTCACATAACAATGTATGTATAAATTTTTGTATGGGAAAAAAGAAAAAAAAGCAAACCCTTTGCCGTCCAGTCAATACCAGCTCATAGCAACCCTGTAGGACAGAATAGAACTGCCTGGTAGGGTTTCCAAGGAGCAGCTGGTGAATTTGAACTGCTGATGTTTTGGTTACCAGCCAGACTCTTTAACTGTGCCACCGGGGCTCCAAACATATAAGAGGTATCAATAAATATTTGATGAGTGAATTAATATAACTATCATCACCCTCTAGATTTGGAAAATATTATTGTCTTTAAAAAAATAAGAAAGTCATCACAATTAGCTTTTCCCTAGAGTCTATGATGGTAAAACCTTGATTAAAGAGCTCAACATCTTCCACTTTTATTGACCCAGCCAATAAAACCTAAAGCTACCTGTTAAACAGTATGACTGCCATCTTCTGCATTCCTTCTCAAAGAGATATTTTCTTCAGGCATAAGAATCTATACTGTCATAGCAATATACAGGCCAAAGCAAAGATAAGTGAAGTAAAAGATAGTGATTGCTGAAATCTGAAAAGATTTAGAATAGTCTTTTCTTCAAAGCGTAGCTCATGACTGTGTCCTATCCGGGTGCCCTAGTTTCATTTGTATTTTATTTTAATTCTTTTAAGGTGTTCCTTAAATATTATCATGTGGAGGAGTTAAATTTAATGAGAAGGGAAACCATTGACAAGCTTGTTTTGATTCAAGCCCATGAAATCTAAAAAGATTTAGAATAGTCTTTTCTTCAAAGCGTAGCTCATGACTGTTTCCTATCCGGGTGCCGTAGTTTTATTTGTATTTTATTTTAATTCTTTTAAGGTGTTCCTTAAATATTATCATGTGGAGGCGTTAAATTTAATGAGACGGGAAACCATTGACAAGCTTGTTTTGATTCAAGCCCATGTCAGAGGATTCTTGGGTTCAAGAAGGTACCATAAAATACAGGAGAAAAGGAAAACAAGCGCTATGATAATACAATCAGGTAATCACCTACCATCTCACGGTGTAACAAAGCATCATGTTATGTTTGCAGTTGTTTGTTGCGTTCAAGTCAACCCCATGTGTGCAGAGTAGAACTGCTCCATAGAGTTTTCAAGGCTGTGACCTTTCAGAAGAAAGCCAGGTGGCATAGTGGTTAAGTGCTATGGCTGCTAACCAAAAGATTGGCAGTTTGAATCCACCAGGCGTTCCTTGGAAACTCTATGAGGCAGTTAGTTCTATTCTGTCCTATAGGGTCGCTATGAGTCAGAATTGGCCTGACAGCAAAGGGTTTGGGTTTTTTGGACCTTTCAGAAGCAGATAGCCAGGCCTGTTTTCCAAGGCACCTCTGCTGGGTTGGAACCACCAGCCTTTTGGCTAGTAGACCAGCACTTAACCTTCAGTGTCACTCAGGGACTCCTTCAATGTTATATGGGTATAAAATCAAATCTTATACTGCTTCTTAGATACAAACCTCCCATTCTTATGTAGCTTTTGTGTTTCATTCCAGACTGCTGCCTTGATGCTTTCTCTAAACTAAATCTAATCAGATTGCTTTAGCAATTGACACTTTTAATATTTGAAGAAATGTTTTGTTTTCAATAAAATAAAATATAATTATAAAATTTTCTGCAAGTATTAATGAAACACAATTTACCTAGTATGCAAATACGACAAGTGATTGACTTAGTTATATACCTCAAGAATCATTATAACTCATTGGACAATAAGGTCTTTCCTATTTTATTTGAAAGGTTACACTTGGCATGGTTTTTGACAATTTAATTAAACCTCATGCTGTTAAAGGGCATCCATTTCTTTCTGTGAACTGTAGGGAAGTAATATTTATAATCGTGTTTCACTTTAAATTTTTATTAAAAATTATTAATGGACTTTGGATTCCACTTTCCATTTTTTTATAAAAAACTAAATTTAGAACCTAGAATGGCTTGGTACAATGTCTTTTCAAAATTTTTTGACTGGGCACCCATAGTAAAAAAATATATTTTCCTTCATAACCTGATGCACATAGATACTACAAGCAGTGTGCTCTTGAGGTTTTCTATTCTCGTCTATTCTATTTCTTTTTTAGGTACTAGATTTAACCCACTAAATCTATTTTATGATCCATTGATGGTTTAAAACCTGAATTCTAAAGAACACTGACGTGGTGGACGTAATTTTAAAAAAAACAAAACCTGCTGCCGTTGAGTTGATTCCGACTCATAGAAACCCTATAGGACAGAGTCGAACTGCCCCATTGGGTTTCCAAGACTGTGATCTTTACAGAAGCAGATTGCTACATCTTTATCCTGATAGTCAGAATAGCTGATTAATATTCAAGAAATTCACCTTCCAGTCTCAATTCCGTCTATCTGTAATGAGTTATCATCATCTCTTTTGGAATTTTAAGCCCTTAACTTCTCACTACCATCAGACATCAGAACGCAAACCCTGATAGTTTGTATCTAAGAGATAATCCTGTATGTGCAATTCAAAATTCATAAAGCTCTGAAGAAAGATTTTTCATAACTCATTTGGCAGTGAATTATGATCTCATATAAAGTGAGGCTATTTGTAGTCCTTTATTCATCCATCTTAGCAAAAATATTCTATATGTTATCTGTGAAAACATTCATGGTTGATTTGGGGATATATTTACAAAATATATGCTACAGAATATATGTTATTCTAAATGTTACAGAATACATGATATTTACTTGTATGCCCTGATAGTGCATTGGTTAAAAACTCAAGCTGCTAACAAAAAGGTCAGCAGTTCAAATCTACCAGCCACTCCTTGGAAACACTATGGGGTAGTTCTACTGTGTCCTGTACGAGTAGAAATCGACTCAACAGTGACGGGTTTTTTTGTTTTTGTTTTTTTTGGAGTGGGGGTTATCTTCCTAAAATTTAAAAAAAAAAAAAAAACCTGAATTCTGAAATCTCTCTGACCTCAAGGGTAATTGACCAAAAGACCCAAAACATACTTAGATAATAAGGGCTATCTCCTATGAAGAGCTAAATATGGCAAAAATGAATTAAAATATTTATTAGCAAACTCTAAGCAAATGAGTACACTTTGTCTTGGTCATCAGCCTAGTCCATATCTATTATTTTGGTTTCATCTTAGTACTCTCCTTAGAATGAAAAGTGCTTTAGCTCTTTTATTGCTATATCTTGTCCTCTGGAACAGTCTCATATGATTTCCGTATTTTTTAAGAACCTGTTCTATTTGGGGTTTTACTTTCATTTTTCCTGTTTGACATTTATTGATGGTCACATTAAAAAAAAAAACACCTGTTTCTATTCATTTACCTAATGGTCTTTTATTTCTTATTATTAACACTACTCTTATACTTTTCAGCTGCAAGAAGACATCTACTCAGGAAACAGAAACAAGAAATTGTTAACACAAAAAACACAGCAGTAACAACCATTCAGACTCATGATCAGGAATTTGACTACAAGAAAAACTTTGAAAATACAAGGTATAGTGATGTTTATTCTTATACTGTTTTGACATATAGATTTTTAAAATATGTTGGCTCAGATTAATGTTCATAGTATAACCAGTTTCCTGAAACTGATGCATCAAATGTCAGTGAGCACCAGTGGCCATTTTTGTGTTCTTTATCTTGTGTGGGAGTTCATTGGCATTTCACACTGATGAACATACTTTCCTTCTCAAAGTTTTATCTTTCTTGGTGTCTTGGTTATCTAGTGCTGCTGTAACAGAAATACCACAAGTGGTTGGCTTTAGGGAACACTAATTTACTGTTTCACAGGGAAGGAGGCCACAAGTCTCAGTCAGGGCTATAGGGTGAGGTCCTTCCTTGTCAGTAGCTCTGGGAGCTCCCAGTAGTTCCTTGGTATTCCTCGGTGTTCTTTGGCATCTGTCTTCCCCTGTATGTGTCTCTGTGTTTATTTCTGCTCTTTTTATACCTCAAAAGTGATTAGGTTTAGGATCCACACTACTCAGTTATGACTTAATTAACATAAAAAAGAAAATCCTCTTTCCAAACAGGATCACACCCATAGGTATACGGGCCAGGACTTCAGTACATAATTTCGGGAGACACAATCCAATCTATAACACTTGGCTTCTGCCAAATTGTTCTCAACAGTTCTGCTCCTAGTTCTGAATGTCCTTTGCTAATTCTTTCCCCTCTCCCCACATCTAAATCCTCCTCCACACCTAAACAATGCTCCTGGGCTCTCTCGTTCATTCCCATGGCCTTAATACCCAATATACCGTTGCCCCCTTAAGTCATAATCACCAGCTGCATTCTTCTCCTGAACCTCCATACCTATGTTTCCAAGTGCATGTTAACAGATCCTCCTGAATTCATTCTTTCGGTGGACTTTATGCTAGGCAGTGGGGACACGTAGATCAAGAAACCACGTCCTTATCCTCAAATTGCTCACAGATTCATGGAAAAGAAATAAGACCAATAAATCATGATTCTAGTAAAATCGGTTAAAACTGTTATAGAAATATGCAAAGGGTGCAGTAGGGTCATGGAGGGAACCCTGCCTTACTTGGTAGGCATTAGGAGTATGAAAAATGTCCAGATTTTGCCTAAGTGGAGAAACTTGAATTGATTGAAAGATGAATAATGGTGCTCCAGGAAGATAAAGATCATTCTAGTCCAAACCTCAGCCCATGCCTTTAACATCAGAACTGGACATGGCAAGGGTGAAAGAATGAGATAGAAGAAAGATGGCACTCTCTTCCCCCCTACACACATACACAAGCAAAATCTCTTCACCCCTCCCCATCCCCCACCCCCACCACTGCTGTTCCTTCATGCAGTATTGGTCCCATAGCTGATCTCAGCTCCCTTGGTTTCTTTGCCATCTCTTAACCTCACCTTCACCCACACTGTCTCTGTGTCACCCAAGCCAACCTCATTTCCTTATTTGAAAAACATAAATGTTTATCTGAAGTGTAGGGACATTTGATGTTTTCAGTCCTTCCTGTATGTATTCGGAGATCCGCATACATGGTCTTTGTCTTTGCCAGCAAGAATCCAGACGAGAAACGTTGTTCCCCTAGTTGCAAAACAGTCCAGCAAACCTCAAAAAGGCCATATCCTGGTTTCAGCAGCAGCAGGTGAGTGTTATCTGTGGCTCCTATTCTTCAGGGGTCTGTGGGAAAATACAAACTCTCATTGCAAATGGAGAGTAATTTTACTACTTCTAGAAATTACTACTTGTATGATTTATATTACTACTCGTAGATATTAAAATTAACAAATAAAAAATTTAGTAAAGAAGTATAATGTTCAGTTAGGTCATTTGCTACCACCTTTCTTCTGAGGACACCAGGGATTAGCTTTCAATTTAGCAGATATTAAACATCTACTGTGTACAGGACCCATATCAGGGAACACAAGGGTAAATAAGAAACTAGCTCTACTTTGGTCTCGGCTGGCGAATTTGATGTTGATTGGACTGACTGTCATAGAAGGTAGACCTCAAAGTCAGACATAAAAGAAGTACAAGCAGATAGTCAAGGGAAACTCAGAGGCAGGAGAGAGGAAGGCTAGGGAAAGGTGGAAGGGCCTGACACAGAGTCCTTCTTTGAAAACAGATTGCAAAAGACCAAAACCTTCCCATGGCTTTCCTGGTCCCGATAAAACATCTCTAGCAAGAAGCCCCGCAAGTGGCAGTGAGAGATGTTAGTGTGCCAAGGTGTCAGCTTATGACTTTTCAAACCCCACCTTAACACCCTTTTCATGGCTGGGTTGCTGTTATGAGGGTTTTCCCCTTGGGTGGGGAAAAAAAAAAAAGTGAAGAGAAGATCTTATCTTCAAGTTAAGGGGAAATCATTTTGGGAGGATATTAATAAAGTACCAACTGTGAAATTCACGGCAACATTACATGATTATGAACTGTAGCAGTGACACTGTTTTCCCTTCATTTTTCTAAGACGTTTCCTGTGATCCATAGACTTGGAGCTTATTAAACTACAGAATGCCAGCCTAGTGAACAGACCCTGCTTACTGGTCTCCAATCTGGATGCACCATATCTCTTCACCATAGTTACTTTGTTTGGAAAGGGGCATATTTTGAAGGGACTAAATTTCTAGGATCTTTATAGCTCATTAAAACCTGTTAGGCTATTTCCCATTTTAAGTTGAAGCTGGTTTTCTCGTTATTTGAGTAGCTGTCTCACTTGTAGCTAGAGAGAACATTTTGGGAAGTGCTTGATTAATGTGACTTGGTAAGTTTTTATTTTGAGCTTTTTTGTTCCTTTTGCTTTTCTTCCAACATTATGTAATATGTAGCTATTGCCAAGAGTTAATGAGCTTTAGTTTGGTATCATATATTCAGATGCAGTATGTTTTACACAGGGAATCTTTTTTGAAGAAACAAACAGAAAATGCAATCTCTACTAAAGAAACATTCATTCCAGCTCCAAATAATAAAGGAAGTAGTACATCTGTAGTGAAGACGTCTACTTTCAAAGCTGAGGAAGAAGCCGCTGATGCTACTGACAGTAACAACAGAGGATATCAAATGCAGAAAAAAGTGAACAGTGTGTATGGGGAAGAGGCTAAGCAAGAGTTGTGTCTGGTGGGGGATCCTTGGACAGAATTGAGCCCCAAACAGAAGTATATCAAAGACCTGCAAGAGGGCACTAGGGTCAGGAAAGTGGAGAAAGAGGATGCTGTGCTCCAGAGTTGCTATAATAGATACACAGAGGAAAGAAATTTTGAAGACTCCAAAGTGGCCTATCTTGAAAAGAAGGGCACATCAGAACGGCCAAACTACTCAGGGCTTCGGTTAGCCGAGAATGGGGCTAAGCAGCCTTCTTTTAAAAACGGTTTGGAACCTATCCTTCTCCAAAAGTCAATTTATCAAAAGGCAAATAGCAAAGAAAAAGAAAAGAAGACATCTGTGGTTACCCAGATATGCAGCCAGGAGAAAAGCCGTCAGAGGTGTGAGGCAGTCAAAGAGGGGCAGGGTGAGCAAATGATACAGGACCTAGAAGAAGATAAAGCAGCAGTGTTCATTCAGAGCAAATACCGAGGTTATAAGAAAAGGCAGCAATTAAGGAAGGATGGGATATCCTCTTCTTTTAAGGATCAAGAGATTGTTACAGCAACAATGGAAGTAGCGGGACACACTCACAGTTTATATTCCTGTCCCATAAAACACAAGGAAATCTGTAATATCAAGATGAGGGATGACCAAGACTCAAAAGCAATTTCAGAAAAAGAAGCATGTGATTTGGCAATTTTTTCAAAACAGGTATGTTAATAAATTAATAGTAAAAATCTCTAGGAGCTATACAGTAGCTGAATGAATAATTAATAACTGATATATTGTTCCACCTGCTTTTATGAGACTCCAAAACTTTTTAATAGGATACATCAAGGATTGTGCTACTGAAATAACCATTAACTTTTTAAACCAACTCACTCTGATAAAATAGTATAAAATACAATAGAGATCTTGTTTAGTAAGGAGACTAGGGACTGGTTAACTAAAATATATAGCTTACTAAAATGCTGATGTTTGACAGTGCAAATTTTCCTGTATCTGTGAGATCTTTCATTATAGCTAAAAAAAAAAAAAACTAAATGTTTTCTAAATCCGCTAAAGTTTATGCTTTCCCCCTGCCCCAAACTTTATTTGAGAAAACATAATTACATACCAAAAGTAGATATGTGGCCATACTGAGGCATATATGCACTGAAAATGAAAGTTTACATGTTATAAAAATGAGGAATCATAAAGAAAAACCATTAAAAAATTTCCTTTTCAATAATATCTCGCGCAACCAGTAGACATGTTTCAGCTCTATTTCTAGAAGGGAGAATAGGGAGCATTCAGCTTTAGGGCTTCTCATGGGTATACTTGGAACTCTGGTAAATTAATATGGTATGATGGAAAAATCACAGCCCTGTAATCTTGCTTCCAGCTCCTGCTCTCTCTAACTAGCAGCTTGACTTAAGAAAATAATGTGTTGGCACCTCTATTTTCTCCTATGTAAAGTGCTGGGTTTTAACTAGATGGTTCTAAAATGTGCATTCTAAATTAAATATGAACTACCAAGGTGGTCAATGGTGTATAAAATAATAGAAGAAATATCATAATGGGTTAGTTCAAAGAAGGATCCCTAAACTCTGTATTTTGTCTCTGGCGGTACCTGAGCACATGAGAAGGCTCAATACTTGCCCTTGAACAAACTCCTTGGTGTTAGGACTGTGGCCCAAACGTCTCCAACTTCTAGGTACCGGTAGAGTTCCGTCCTTGATTAATTTATTGAGCCCCTTCCTGTTCTATATTTTTAAACACGTGGAAAGAGTGAGTTTAAGATACTTGCAGTCCCCTGAATAAAGGAATGCTTCTTTTCATTTGTGCATAAATTTCCTCGCTCTAAAGACCAAATCAGGGATTAGAACCCTGACCTGCTATACAGCTGAAACAGTGAGGTGATGCAGAACTACTAAGTCATACACCTAGACCTGGCCAACAGCACCATAGCACAGTGCTAGAGGCAGAAGAGCAGGGACCCCACACTCCATCTAGCAGGAGAGCCAGGTTTACAGAGCTGGGGCTCAGAAGAAACAGGGGATAGAAGGAGGAACCAGAAGAAGAGTAGCTCTGAAGCCAGGCTATGTAGACTGGAAAGGCAGAGAGGAGAGGGTGGTTAACCAAGTTAAAGGTAGCAGGGAGGTGCCTCAGGAGAAAAGCAGAAAGGCAGTTGCTGCAGCATGTGAGGACAGAAGCCAGATCTCAGAAACCAAGGAAGAAGTCGATCAGGATAGAAGGCTGCATGTAGCATGCCATGTTTGGCGGTTTTTAATGGTAAATATGAGATGGGCAATTAGCACAAAGGGGAAAGTTATGCCAAGTGAGGATTCTATTAGACCTGGGTATAAGGGCCAAGGTGTCTCCTGGAGAAAAACAGCATGAAAGTCCCAGGGACCACTATGAGGAATGTATCAGACCCCAGAACACATGTGGAGCCCTGTGCATTCTTTTGCTTCATTTAATCTGACGCATGACCTTCCTTTTAGATAACAAAGTTGTCTGAAGAATATTTCATTCTGCAAAAAAGACTGAATAAAATGATTTTATCCCAGCAACTGGAACCTCTTTATCTGGGTATCTATCCCCATGATCATCAGTGCCTCTCAGGTAAACTTCAGTAGAGTTAGAACTTCCTGAAGGGGAAGGAAGTGCCAGATGCTGTATTTTATTTGTTCATGAGTTTAGTTTCCCACTTTTATTCTATGGCAGATTTGAGGTGACTATGTTCAGACTACCTTGGGGAGAACTTTCATCTCTTTCCATTTCTTATAAACAGGTACATACGCCTCCAGAATGTTCTACATTCCTCCTACCTTCTCTGACTTCATTCTTCTCCCTTTTTCTCGGTTGTCATCTTTGTTTTGTTTTGTTTTCCTTATGAACATTTTTACTAAAACTTGATCTATGAAACCAGAAGGAAATACGAAGAGGTGGAGTAGAGAGGGTTCCAGGGTGCAGGTTTTACAAAGGGAGCAAATAAGTGAGACATTTCTATTTCTTTTTAAATGTCAGAAACCTTGACTACAGAGTGTAGAAAGTCCAAAGCTCAGTTCAGACGTACAAAGCCAGATATATAAGAGTCATGTTAATTTTTTTTTTTAATCAGCCTGTCATATTCTGCCCTCATTTCTCTCCCCTACTAGTGGGGAATGTGATTTCAGTAATTATCGGGGCTTTCCCACCCCAGTGTTGTGCAAAGGCCCTAGGGCCTTATACAGGACCAAAGTACCAGGTAGACCTTGCCCATGCAGATACTGCTGGGAAAGCTGTTGTGCTAGCTGGTCTTCATGTTCCGTTCAAGTCTGGAGGCTTTCATACCATACAGGAGGCACCCAGAAACTGGCCAGTCTGAAGTCTTACCTCCCACACACACACTGCAGGTGTTGATCATCTCTTCAGCCTTATTACCTCCCACAGGGGATCCCCTAACATTGAGGAGTCTCACTGCCCTGGGCCCTGCTGACTTCTGTCTGGGAGAATCTCCATTTATTTTCCCTTGCTTTCTTGCAGGCCCTCCACTCTCTCTCCACCTACTTTGGGACACCTGGCATTATCTCTGCAGTGAGTTTACAACCAGTTGTCATCCAGGTGATTCCAACTCCTGGCGACCCCATGTGTGTCAGGGGAAAACTGTGCTCCATAGGGTTTTCAATGCCTAATTTTTTTTTGGAAATAGATCACCAGGCCTTTCGTCCGAGGGGACTCTGGGTGAACTGGAACCTGCAGCCTTTCATTTAGCAGCTCAACACGTTAACCATGTGTACCACCCACGTACTCCACAGTGAGTTTAGCTCTTACAAAAAATAGGTTGAGCTTCTGACTTCACATAGCCTCTAGTTTCTGCCCTGCAAAAATCCCTGAGGCAAGAAAATACTAAGATGTACACCTGGCTCTTTGCCTAATATGGGAAGAAGAGAAAATATCTCAGTGTTTCAATAAATTATCCTGCCACATTATTTCAAGTCAAGAATGGTGATGAAACTTAAAAAAAAAAAAGCCACACACTAAATGCCTCTTCAGCTCCTCTGCCCCTGCTCCAGAACATCTTTCTGTTAAGAAGAGAGCTTAGCAAGTCAGAGCCAGAGCCAGAGGCAGGCCCATAAGGTTCGCTGCTGCCAAAAGCATGTGCCTAGAGGGCATGCTGAGGTGCCAGCATATGAAGGGAATATGCCAGAGCAGGGAGGGAAGGCCCCCAGGGGCTTCTCTTTCTCTCTTGGTTGGTTATACAGCGGCTCTGGTGAATATGGGGCCAGTGAGACCCGGAGCAATGTAGGGAAAGCAGAACGAAACCAGGCTGTATTCCATGAGTAAGCGGCTCATGCCAGTCCACAGTGGGAAAGGAGAGGTGGGTGGAAGGCAGCCTCATAGAGAGGGAGTGGACGCTGCTGATGTATTGCCATGACTTCACCTTTGAACATCTCAGGGACTTTGAATAGGCCTGAAATGCAGAAGAATTTTACTAGAAAGTCAAATTAGTTCACTTTGTTTTTCAAGCTGCCGTTATTTTTTGTGGGCCTAAGAAGAATATTAGAGCCCTGGTGGCGCAGTGGTTAAGAGCTCAGCTGCTAACCAAAAGACCTACAGTTCAAATCCACCAGCCACTCCTTGGAAACCCTATGGGGTAATTCTACTCTGTCCTATAGGGTCGCTATGAGTCGGAATCAACTCGACAGCAGTGGGTCTGGTTTTTTGTTTGTTTTTTTTTTTAAGAAGAATATCAGAAATAAATTCGTAGTTTACATGGAGAAGATTGTAGCTCTAACATTTCTTTAACCCTTTTTTTCAAATTATGGTACGTCACAGAGATTTGCAGAGAAAGTGCCTGACAGCGGGCCTGAAGTAGCAAAAGACACAGGGATCAGGGTGGATCCAACAACCAAGAACCAAGGAGTAGGAAGGGACTTTGGGAGACGAAGTAGAGACAGTGCCAATGACCAGAGATGAGACAGGTCAAGTTACTGTCAAAAAGATGCCATACAAAAGCCAAGAATGGTTATAGAGTGGATGGCCCCTCACTATTAACACTGTGAAGCTGCAAAAGTGCCCTCCAACTTATATGTGGCCCAGGGAGACAAAGGGGAGGATCAGAAACCTAAAATAGCTGAGTTTACTCAAATGACACTGAGAAAACTGGAAACAACTGAATTTAACTAGGATTCATTAAAAATAATTTAATGTTGTTGTTGTTAGGTGCCATCAAGTTGATTCCAACTCATAGTGACCCTATAGGACAGAGTAGAACTGTCTCATAGGGTTTCCAAGGAGAGCTGGTAGATTCAAATTGCCAGCCCCTTGGTTAGCAGCCGAGCTCTTAACCACTGCACCACCAGGGCCCTAATTTAATACTGGAAAGTAGAAATGAGCACTAAAAGGCAGAAAGTAAGTCTAGTTTTAGAAAAATTATGTTACATCTTTGTACATCTGAATTGTAGCCTGTGAAAATTTAACCCAACTAGAGATGATTGCTTTTTTCTTTTTTTGTTTTTGTCAGTACACATATTGTTTTATGACAATGATTAACAACCCCACAACATGTCAACACTATCCTTACTCAACCTTGTGTTCCCTTCACTAGCTTTTCTGTCCCCTTCTGCCTTCTAGTTCTTGTCCCTGGACTGCAGTGCCTTATTAGTCCCATTTTGTTTTATGGGGCTGTCCAAGATGATTGCTTTTTTTAAAGATCATTCTGATTGCATGGTAAGAACAGAATTTGATAGAGTAAAGGGAAGCATGGAAACCTAGCAAGAGATGAAGGTGATTTGGATGAGAGGGTTGCAGAGAAGGTACACAATTTCAAGAGACGGTTAGTCAGTAGATTACAAAGCATTTGGTAATTGGTTGCACAGGTTTCTAACATGATCAGCTGGGCAGATGGTGGTCCATTACCTGAGATAGAACTTTAGATAAAGATCAGGAGTAGGAGTTTGGTTGGGGGCATATTGAGTATGAAGAGCCCTCGATGCATTCAGATGGCCTGTCAGGTAGACACTTGGACATGTGGGTGGTAACTGAAACCATAGAGTATATGAAATCATCCAGGAAGCCACCTGCAAGAGAAAAGGGCAAACCTAGGAGAGCGACACCGTGTGGAGGTCAGAGAAAGAGGAATCAGCAAAGGGGAGCTATCAGAGAGGTGAGAGGAAAGCCAGAGGAGTTAGTACCTCAGAAGCCAAGGGAAGAGGATTTTTTAAGAGGATGTTGTGCACAATAATCTGAGGTGTCCAGTGAGAAGAGAACTGTAAAGTACCCATTGGGTTGACTGTTGTTGTTAGTTGCTGTCGAGTTGGCTCCAACTTTTAGTGACCCCATGTACAACAGAATGAAACTTTGCCCAGTCCTGCACCGTCTTCACAATCATTGGTATGTTTAAGTCCATTATTGCAGCCACTGTATATTTTGAGCGCCTTGCAACCTAGGGGGCTCATCTTCCAACACTGTTGTGATCCATAGGGCTTTCACTGACTGATTTTCAGAAGTAGACCACTAGGCCTTTCTTCCCAGTCTGTCTTAGTCTGGAAGCTCCACTGAAAACTGTCCACCATGGGTGACCCTGCTGGTATTTGAAATACCAGTGGCCTAGCTTCCAGCATCAGAGCAACATACAGTCACCACAGTATGACAAACTGACAGACAGGAGGTGGATTGAATTGACCACTCACTAACAATTACTTACTGAATTCTCAGAGGTTATTTAAATATTAGAATAGACACAGATAGAAAAGGGGGATACAAATAATCATTCTGGGAGATTAATTACCAGTATTAAATAGGCTTTATCATTGAATATAGTCTTTGTTCATACGCTTTAGCTATCTGTGCAACTCTTTAAAAAAATTCCTTGAATAGCTTATAAAATTTCATGGTAAAATGTAGTTCAAAGAATTCAAACTGAGGTCACAGAATTGGGCCGGACAATGCTTGATTAATAATACTTAATCTTTTCAATGGAGAAGCCCAGGTGAGCAGTGGTTAAGCACTCAGCTGCTAACGGAAATGTCGATGACTTGAACCTACCAGCGGCTTCGTGGGAGAAAGATATTGCAGTCTGCTTCTGTAAAGATTTAAAGCCTTGGAAACCCTATGGGGCAGTTCTACTCTGTCCTGTAGGGTCGCTATGAGTCGGAATCGACTTGACAGCAATGGATTTTGGGGTTTTGAATTCCTTCAGTGGATCTAGAGTCATTATTTTACCTTTGGATATGCTGTTTTATCTTAGGATAGGCAAACCGTATGCTAAATTGTAGACCTATAAGGTTAAGTGGCCTAGAAAATCTTCTCATCTATTCCAAGGAAATCCCTAGACAACGTGTATGATAAATGAAGATAATTCAATTTTTCAAATTAATTTTAACAACTGTGACCTTATTTTATAAGGGGACTCTTCCTATGAAGCTTATTTTGTAAATGCCCAGAAGTGTCAAAAGTAAAATAATGTCCAAGGAAAGGTAAGAAGCTAGTTTAGGAAGCTTAAGAATAAAATTAGGTGAGCAAGTGACCTACTTTATCTATTCGTCCTGATAATAATTGGTATAAATCGAAACAGATATGAGCTAACTGCACCTGCATTTTCATTGAGAGAAATACAGTATAGGATATATATAATTAGA